ACCAAATTTTGGTGACGAGGATGTTCAAGGAACAACTCTGTAAAATGATGGAAGTCTATATAGAAGACATACTGGTCAAGTCCAAAAGGAAAGAAGATCACATCGACCATCTGACAGAAACTTTTGACATACTTAGGTGATACAGAATGAAGCTGAACCCCAAAAAGTGTGTGTTTGGTGTGTCATCAGGAAAGTTTCTAGGTTTCCTAGTATCACAGAGGGGGATCGAAGTCAATCCTGACCAAATCAAAGCCATCGATGGGATACCGGAACACTTGACCACTAAAAAGCGGGTTCAAAGGTTGATTGGCCGGATCGCCGCCCTGTCAAGGTTCATTTCACGATCATCAGAGAGATGGCACAAATTCTTTGCCGTACTCAAGAAGGATAATGGCGTCCAATAAACTTCGGAGTACATCCAAGCCCTGAAGGAATTAAAAGATGACGAGCTAAAAATACAATACAAAATTATGCTCTCTAGTCGAATATAGTATAGAAAATATTGTATCCACAGGGATTGGATTTAAACAGTGTTTTCGTAGCTTCTAGTTTTAATTGCTATCCAAAATGCTCAACAATTTAGAGTTGTGTAATTTAAAACTAAAATTTATTAAAAGTCTAACTATTGGCTAATGACAATTACTACAAGAGTAAGAAAGAAGATATCAAGGGGAGAAAATAGGGGTTGATTGGATAGGTGTAAGATACTTGTTTGAAAATTAACTCTAGTTGATTCACTTCTAAGTTTCAAGTGAGTCTCTCAAATTCACTCTATTATGTTCAAATATTTAGTAGAAACTCCTCTCTCGATTAAATCTCAACCTTACGATATGAACTAAGTTAAGCTTGGTGAAGATATGCAAGAATTCGTAGTGGATTGATCCTTAGGAGAACCTCTTTCGATTATCCTCCTAGTTAGGTCTAAACATTAATCCAACTAGCCTCTTTCCATTACTAACAAGAATCAATGGATTCAACTAATAAAAACACCCAAAACGCTTCAATACATAAAAATAAGTTAATATCCACAAACAATTCTAAACATACCAAATTCATTAATCCCTAAGGAAGAATTACTTCATGGATATGGAGAAATTCATCACAGTTAAGTCTAAATCAAAGAAAAACATAAAACATCCAAACCCTTGTCTTGAGTGAGGATGAATGGTGAAATCCTTATGCTCTTGCTTCTCCCTCTTCTCTTTAGCTTCCTGAGGTCTAAATTATGTCAAAAGTCCTCAAAATACCATTTTTCATGTATATATACCAAGTAGGGTCAGCCCCAAACAAATACACCTTCTCCTACGCAAAATAGGACACTTTTCCCAGATAGGACGTGCACGGACGCGCACCTGGAAGTGTGTTCGCGCACTTGGCCGCGCACTTTTCACCATGTTCTGCCTCATATGCGCGCCCAGTGCGCGACCGCGCACATGGGTGGAGTTCTGTTGAGAATTTGGGAAAACATAAGACATAAAGTTGTATCCCTTTTAAATAGCTTTCCAACGATATATTGTGGAGTCCAAACGGAGTTCCGAGCGAAAGGTTATGTGCATTTTACTGGACACTGCGCTATATGCCTGTTCGATTCTTCGTTTCGTTCCACTATCATCCATTGATCCCTGAACACGATCCCGACTTAATCCTTGGGCTTTTACTCAGACTTCAAATCTCCCTGACTAGCTTGAATTCATTCCATAACATCTACATAGATCAGAATCACTCCTATAAGGCATAAAACACACAATTAGTGCAAAACACTAGCGATTAAAGCTCCAACTCAATTAAAGTGCAGTAAATTAGAGTGAAATAAATGACTAAAACATGAGATTATAGCCTACCATCAAAAGCATATTTGTCGTCGTCACCACTGCTTTCAAAACCAGAGCCTGGAGAATGTCTTCTCGTGTATCTCGCTGTATCTGAAGTAGCTGTGAGCGCAGTCCTCCTTCGAGAAAACAAAGGTACGCAATCCCCCATCTATTATATTAGCAAAACATTAGTCGACACTGAGACGAGGTATCCTCACCTCAAAAAGCTGGCCATGGCCTTAGTCATAGCTTCGCGAAAGCTTAGACCGTATTTCCAGTGCCACCCCATCTCGGTTGTCACGACCTTCCTCCTGAGAAGTATTTTGCATAAACCCGAGCTATCGGGAAGGATGGACAAATAGGCCATCGAGCTGAGTGAGCACGATATCACGTACCAGTCGTGAACATCGATAAAGTCACAAGTGTTCGTTGACTTCGTCGCCGACTTTAGCGCAAAAGTAATGCCCGAAATTGAGAGAGAAGCCTCTCAAACTTCCCCCTAAACACAAGACCTCTGGGTCCTATACATTGATGGCGCATCCAATGCGTCAGGGGCTGCACTGGGACTCGTACTCGAAGTCCCAACAGGCGAAGTGATTTTTCAGTCCATAAGGTGCCCGAATATGACTAGCAATGAGGTCGAGTATGAGGACGTAATCGTAGGTTTGAGACTAGCAATCAAGTACGGGGCAAGACGGTTAAAACTATGATGTGATTCCCAACTCGTAGTCAACCAAGTCACAGGGACTTACAGAATCAAAGAACAAAGATTTCAAAAATATCTGACTAAAATCTGCAAGCTACTGCGCGAGTTCGACGAATGCCAGCTTGACCAAATTCCTCGAGTACAGAATGATGAGGCAGACGGTCTTGCTAAACTGGCCGCAACCACCAAAAACATTGCAACCGGAGACAAGAACGTAGTACACCTCCTCAATTCATCGCTTGATCAAATTGATGTAAGAACCGTAAGCTTAACTTGGGACTGTGCAATCGTATTATTACATATTTGCAGGACGACACACTCCCAAATGATTAAAAAAAAACCAAGAAACTGAGAATGCAAGCAACCAGGTACAGTATCATCCACATGGACATGTATAAGAGGACTTATGGCACCCTCTGAAAAAATGCATGGGCCCAAACTAGACGTGACGCGGCCTTAAAGAGGTCTACGAGGGCCATTGTGCAGCTCACTCCGGCAATCGAGCTCTGGTCAGATGCCTCATACGGGCAAGATACTACTGGACCACCATGAAAAATGAGGCCATAGACTTCATAAAAAAATGGGAGCAATGCCAGAAGTACGCCCGATGATTCACCAAGTGGGTGAACACCTCCACTCGGTCATCTTACGTGGTCGTTCATCAAATGGGGAATGGACATCGTGGGCCCCCTCCCGGTAGGGCGAGGTAACGTACGATTCCTTTTGGTTTTAACTGACTATTTTTCTAAGTGGGTGGAAGCAGGAGCATTCGCCCAAATACGTGAACATGAAGTGATCGCCTTTATATGGAAAAACATCATATGCCGGTTCGACCTCCCCAAAGAGATCAGATGCGACAACGGACCCCTGTTCACGGGAAAGAAGACCGCCAAGTTTTTTGAGAAATGGCATATCAAAAGGATACTCTCGACGCCATATCACCCCGCGGGCAAAGGGCAAGCAAAGTCCTCCAACAAGTCGATACTGAACATCATGAAGAAAAAGTTTGAAGACGCCAAGGGACTGTGGCTAGAAATATTACCAGAAGTACTATGGGCAAATCGAACAACGCCAAAGACGAGCACAAGAGAGATACCTTACTCTTTGGTCTATAGGACCGATGCAGTAATACCAGTCGAGGTCGGAGAGCCCAGCCTAAGGTACTCCTATGAGAGCGGACCAAGGAATGACGAAAGCAGAAGGCAGGAGCTCGACGAACTTGAGGAACGAAGAGACATGGCCTACATAAAAATGATCGTCCAAAAACAGCAAGCAAAACACTATTATAATAAGAAGACAAAGGTCAGGCCGCTCAAAGTCAGGGACTACGTGCTTAAAGCTAAAACACAAGCGAGCAAAGGCCCACAAGAAGGAAAACTAGGAATAAATTGGGACGACCCATACAAAATCACAGCAAAAGCGAACAAAGGGTCATTCCAACTAGAAATAATGGAAGGAAAGGTACTACCAAACAACTAGAATATTACCCACCTCAAGTACTTCAACTTTTAAGATATAAAGCGTCCCCCAAGTCGTACTCTTTTTTCCCTCACTTAAGTTTTTTCCCAATTGGGTTTTCTCAAGGAGGTTTTTAATGAAGCGACGAAGGGAACACTTCAAGTCGAAGTACACAAAGATAGGGCCAGGACAACTATTTCATTGCTCGACCTCTCAAGCACTCTCCAAGTCAACCAATAAAGGGACTCAATAGACTGAAACTAGAACTGGAATGCTAGCCACCGCCCCCAAAATTTATAAATTTCTCCAAATGTATGACTAAAGCAACAACGTTTAAGGTTTACGATTTAGACAAACTTCGCACTTATCGGAACACCTACCGGCCCCTCGGCCATAACTAAAATTAGGTTATGTTCGACCTCGTTGAACTGACGCCTACCAGCCCTCGGCCATAATTAAAATTAGGTTATGTTTGACCTCGTCGAACTGACGCCTACTGGACCTCGGCCATAATTAAAATTAGGTTATGTTTGACCTCGTCGAACTGACGCCTACTGGACCTCGGCCATAATTAAACTTAGGTTATGTTCGACATTGTTCGAACTAACACCTACCTGTTCTCGGCCATAATTAAACTTAAGTTATGTTCGACCTTGTTCGAACTAACACCTACTGGCCCTCGACCATAATTAAAATTAGGTTATGTTCGACCTTGTTCGAACTAACACCTATCGGCCCTCTGCCAAAATTAAACTTAGGTTATGTTTGACCTTGTTCGAATTAACACCTACCGGCCCTCGACCATAATTAAAACCTTGTTCGAACAAACACCCATCAACCTCTGGCCACCATTTTCCATTAAGTGATCACGGTTAGAAAATCAAGGCAACCAAGTGATAGAATTAAAAAACATACAAATGTAAAAACGAAACGCAGGAAGAGAATCAGATACAAATAACGAAGCATTTCTTACTTGAAATATTTTTTACAAAGGCGCATGAAGACGCCACCAACTACACGCAAAATATACAAAAATCAAAAGAGAAAAATATTGGCCACCACCATCACGACCCTCGACATCCCCGCTGACTTGGTCCTCAACAGCGTCGCCCCCTTGACCTTCAACACCCTTGCCATCGCCGCCTTCGCCCTCAGGATATGCAGCGTCATACCAGGCATTCTGCTCGAGCCAGTCTACACCTTCGTCCCCCTCGTCCTCGTAGTCCTCTGGCATAACGGGGTCATACCTGCAAGCAATTCGAGCTTCGCGAGCTTTAACACGAGCATCTTCGAGGGCGGTCTTAGAAATAGATCCCGCGGCATGCAAATCTCAAAACACGTCTAACTGGGCCTCAACATGAATCCACTCCTCATACAACTCTCGAGGAACATTAGGAAAATCTGAAGTATGTATTGACACTCCTCAAGATGGGCACGCAGTGAAACCACCTGAGCATGGAGATCACTGCACTGGGCTTCGACCCCTTTGCTGACTTCGAGCTCTTCCTCCTTACCTCTCAACGTCCCTTTAAGGACAGTACACTTCTCTATGACCTTCTCCAGCTTGTCATCCTTCTCCTTCAACTCATCACGAAGGGCCCGCAAGTTACCACCCTAGCCAAAATGCCTGCGAATCTCCTGGTACTTGCCGCGATACTCAAAGTACTTGCGCTCCAACTTCTCAAATATTTTCTTATGCTTCTCCTCTATTCGAGCGATCTCAATCTCCAAGATCATGGTCTGCAATCATAAGAAAAAAAAAGGAAAACAAAAGTGAGAACGTTTCCGCTAACAAGGAAAAAACACTATAACAAAAGAACAACACTACAGTAAGAAAAACGAAGCCCTAAAATACTCACCATGAGGGCAAGGCCGACTATTCCCCTCGACAAAGTAATATCGTCCAATTCTCTCAGGGTTTCACCTTCTACGTCGGAGCAAAGAGGGCCAAGGGAAGGGAATACATTCTCCGTATTAATTAATAGATCACGATCCATGGGGATCACAATGGTCCTCGTAGACCCCTCCAGCCTCACCTCAAGTTGGGTAAACCCTTCCTTCATCATCCTCAGGTCAGTGACATCAACCTCGGAATCCGTCTCATAACCATCTTTGGCAACGCCTTTGCCTCTCCCATCGGCCGGCGAAGAAGTATCATCGTCTGGCTGCGAAGTCGACGGCCCCTCTTGCCGCAAATGATCAGAAACTCCAGCGGCCGGCTCTTCGGCCTCCGTCATCACAGAGGGGAGAGACATACCTTCGTCGGCCTCTACCAATCTTGGAACCTCAGACGCCAGTCTGACATCGTCCTCAATGACAATGGTCATCGTCTCATGAAGATTAAAGTCATATCTTGCAGATTTTGATTATTTTACCACAGTTAAATTATTTGCATGTATTCTCGCTTTAATTTAAATGTAAATACGGGTGCTAGTAAAAAGATTTCGTCAATAAGCCCGTCTAACTCAAGTTTGACATTTATAATAGTGGCATTTTGATTTCACTGTTATTTAATTTTTATAATGTGTTCAGCGGATAATGAAAAACTCAATCTAGTACTAGTGGATAATATTTTATTTAGAGGTATTAAACCCATAAAATATCCTATATTGAACTCTGCACGTTATTTCCACGATACCTCCATAGAATATGTATTTCTAGTTGACCAATTTGAAGCCAAGATTTGTCGTTGGTTAGGTTTTTGATCATATAAAATCCCCCTTGAAGTTGAAGGCTTCTTAGTTAGTATCAAAACAAAATGGCAAGTTTAGTAGGAGGGGGAGACAGATACATAGTAGGAGGGGGAGACAGATACAGAGACTACTTGAGTGAAGAAGAGGTGAAAAACACAAAATGGAGAAATGGTCCTCCTACCTATGATGTTGTTGATAAGCTCTTTGAAGAAGAAAGAACTCATGTATGTTCTCTTTTTCAACCCCCCCCACTTTTTAATACATCTTAGAAACTCTTTTGATTGATTCTAAGAATGTCTCGATATTTAAGATGATATAACTAGTAAATATGTTCTTCCTCGTGTACTTTACATTTACTATTGTACAAGTAGCTACTGAATTTGTTATGAACTTTGTCATCTGACGTTTATGTAATAGTGTGATTGATACATGTGTTACTTATTTATTTTCGTTTTTTTTTTCAGTAAAGAGTGAAATACCATGTTTAAAGAAAATAAAATCATTCATTAGTACCCAAATTTAGAAGTTTAACATTATAATAGAAACTGGATTTATTTACCTCTTAACTTGTTAGGTATGGCCTGAAGGATCACTTGAAGAGAAAGTGCAGAGGCTGTTGAAGACTTGGGAAATGGAAATAGTCCACAAGGCAGATCCTAATGAATTCAAAACTGTTGATCCAAAAAAGTTCAAGATTAGTGTCAATGGTATACTTCTGTCACAGTTTCTGCTGTTGTTTTCATTCTATGCAAAAATATTTAGTACCTAATTGTAAGACTTCATTTCTTAATGGAAAGAAAGCTATTCTTAGTTGATCACTATATTGTCTGTGAGGAGAAGGGGTATGTGCGATTTTCTTCTCCTTATTTCTGTATTGCTACGTCTTTCAACCATGACCAATTGAGAGAATNTTAAATAGGTAAATGTGATCACAGTCAAATGAAAGAGTCGAAGTAATTTAAATCACTGGATAGTAGTTGAGATTAGGATAATCTTTAAGTCTTCGGATTCAATTCATATAAAAAAATCACGAGTCCAACAAACACTTCATAATCAAGGATAATATCCAAAAAGAAAAATTGTTAAAAAGAAAAGAAAGAAAGAAAAGAAGAAAATTCAAACAAGTTGATCTCAGCAGTGACGCTATTGTGAGGACAGAATACCAAAAGGTGATTTTAGGCCAACATTTGTTTTTTGTTAGTCCACCCAACAAAGTATAAGTTATATCGATACTAGTTTTAATTTTGGGATAACTTATTTTAAGTTAAGTAACCAGATACTAGTTTTAATTTTGGGATAACTTATTTTAAGTTAAGTAACCAAATAAGGAATGAGGCGGTATTAAATTTTTATCTCACGACTATTTTTTATTTATCCCTAGTACCAAATGGCCCTAAGTGAACAAAATGACGGGAATATTTTTCCAATAAAGGGAGTGGCACATGAGAAATTCTGAATTAATCTGAACTTTTGAATTCATCCAAACAAACATGATTTAATTATTTCCTACAAAGATTTTGTAATGAATATATTTCTCATTTAAGAATGAAAAGAAGAACCGCAAGTTGAAGTATTTCTTATTAAACTGACAATGATTATGTTAAAAGATTTATTAAAGAATTTTAAAAAAGAAAGTAAATATAGAAATAAATGTTACGAAATCAAACATGAAAAAATTATCCTCTCTTTCTTTTCATATGCACATTTTGAATCTATAATTGTCTATAAAAATTATGTATACGGTTATCACTTGTCGATTTAGTGGATTGATTCCTTACTTTTCAGAGATTGAAAATTGAATACGAGTTTAGATCTAAGGGTTGAATCAGAGTTATCAGTCGAGCTAGCATGTGGTTGAAGACCCGAAAAATCTCCTATTAGAGAGCCAAAGTAATCAGTGTGCAAACTTAACCGGAAAATCGTACCAAATCGAAAAGTTAAACCAAATCGATTAAAAAATTCGACTAGGTTCGGTTTGATTTGATTTGGTATTGAGGAAAAAAATCCGAACCAAACCGACATATAAATATATAATTTTTTATATATAATTTTAAGACTTTTTATAGAATTTTATTTAAAAAATATCTAAAAATATTTGAGATCCTCTCATAGGATATAATATTTAATAGAACTATAAAATGCATTCATTTTTATTTACTTTAAATAATAGATTATATCACTTTTTTATTATGTGTTATTGAAATGCTTCAATCATCTCTTTGTTCTTTCATATTCATATGTCAAGATTTATTATATGTTTTTCTAATTTGAAGTGGTATTTCGATAATCTAAAATTATATAGAACATATCATTATTTAGGTATCATCTTGATTTTTATGTTTAATTATTAAATTTGGTTAACCCTGAAAGCATACATCAACCAAAAATTATTGGTAGACGACTAAAAAAATAAACTATTTTGTGTTATTAAAAACAATTCTCCCGTAAGATCACTTTAATTGATCATATGTTTGTTATTGTTTTTTTAATTTTAGTAAACATATATTCACTTATCAAAATTTTATCTATAACTTTAATAATGCAAGATTGAAATAATATTCATGTAACAAAAAAACTCGAAAAACCCGAAAAATCCAATAAAACCGAATCAATCCAAACCAATATAATTAATTTGATTTGGTTTTGATAAAATTCGAACCAACACGATCCATGTACACCCCTAGACATGACACCTCACATAATTTAGTCCCAGTTTTTGGACTCATATGTACGTAAGATTCTAATATTTATCAGAATCGTCCAAAAATAGGACTATTCTTAGTGGCCTTAATGGACTAAATTGCAGTAGTACTTTTGATTTATTTATATTTATACGCTCCCCATATTATCGTCCAGCTTACTAAAAATATGTACGTAAGACCCTAAAATTCATCAAAAACATCAAAAAATAGTGTCACTCATAATGGGCCTTAATATATTGACGAAAATTATATGCATTGCAAAATGACCCGGCCCTTTTATGAATTATGATCTGTGTTTTGAGTTGAAAGCTCAAAACCTATTTAATTACACATTTACGACAAAAGAAAAGAAGAAGAATTAGCAAACGGGAAAAATCATACCTCACTTCTATAAATCCATAAAAACGACAGGTCTATTCTTACACTGATATATTAAGCAAGCTAAAGAAAGAAAAAAAATGGAGAAAGCTAAGTTGGGTTTCTTTCTTATCCTTTTTCTTGCTGCTTCTAGTAAGTTCTCAACCTTCTTTTCGTTCGTCCATATTCACACTACATCAATGCATAAAGCAAAGAAATTTACCACGTTTGCTACCATCAGATTAAGGTAACTTCCATAAATACACTAATCAAGCAAAGTAAAAACAGAGAAAAGCATAAATGCATAAAATCATTAGATATTCAAATTAGTTAAGCCAAGTTTAAATTAATTAAGAGACCGTGATAGAAAAGCGAGATTCATAGAGTGCCTCACACCTTCTCCCTAGCCAACATGGATCATTACCCGGTCTTCCTTTTTCGCAGACCATAACTTGAGTCAAAACTTTCCTTAATTAAAGATTAAATAAAAAGCAATCTGAAAACACCAAAAACACTCCATTCAAAGTGGCCACTCCTAAAAAATAATAAAATAGTTCCTTTTCAAATAATATCATTTTAATTGAAAATTTTCTTTCCACACGAAAGGATTTGTGACATTCATAATAGTGGAGTTTCACTATAAGAAGACAAAATAAAATATTGAAAAGTCAATATAGAACTAGTGGAGAAATTTCATTTGGAGATACTTATCAAACCCATACAATATATCCTCCACTGAACAAGACTTGTATTTGGTTTGCTTTTTAATTTGATCATATATAAAACCGGCCTCCCCAGAAAGCTTTCTTTAGTTAGGAACTTAGGATCAAATCAAAATGGCAAGTATAGTAGGAGGAGGAAACAAATACAGAGACTACTTGAGTGAAGAAGAGGTGAAAAACACAAAATGGAGAAATGGTCCTCCTACCTATGATGTTGTTGATAAGCTCTTTGAAGAAGAAAGAACTCATGTATGTTTTCATGTTCTATGTTTTATGTATTTATTTTGGTTTTCTTTAGGTACAAGTGCACTACCACGTATTATAGATATTGTATTTGCCTCTTTATTTTTAGGTATGGTCTGAAGGATCACTTGAAGAGAAAGTGCAGAGGCTATTGAAGACTTGGGAAATGGAAATGGTTCACAAGGAAAATCCTAATGACTTCAAAACTGTTGATCCAAAAAAATTCACAAAGAGTGTTAATGGTATTCTTCTGTCAAAGTTTCTCCAACTGCGATAATTTCATTAATGTGCTACTAAAAACTTCTAAATTTTGTAATATAGGACTTAGACGGATGCAAATAGTCGATCTTACTTGTTTAGGATTGAGACATAATTGCTGTTATTGTTATTATTTATTCTACTAATTGTTTTTTTATTGTTCATGATCATTTGAGAGAATTTTCCCATATATAGGCAGGAAAGGGTTGACAGCAGAAGAAAATGCAAAACTTGGTGGTGGCTATAATACATTCCTACAAACATCATTGCCAGAGAATCTTCGAATCTACAACCCTGACGAGGAAACATTTGAATCATCACAGAAAGTTTTCAGAACCATTTTTGTACGTGGATTTGCGATTGAAATCCTCCATGTTTATTCAGGAACACCAGAAATAGTGTACAAGTTTAGGCATTGGGGTCACATGGAAGGTCCATTTAAAGGACATGCCGCAACTGGTGAACTTGTTGAGCTCTTTGGAATTGGCATTTTTGAAGTACTTAACAAAAACCATCTTCCTTTTTAAATTAATAAGTCCTTTTCTTTATTCTTTTCTAAATTGTATTTTCTGAAATATATAATTCAATGATTATATTGTTGAAACAGTTGGACAAAGAGAGTAACAAGATTGTTAAGGCAGAGTTCTTCTTTGATAGAGGAGAATTGCTTGGACCTCTCGTGAAAGGAGAAAAGAATGGTGAATTCACAAGTGGGATGGAATTGGCTTCTTCAAAATGCCCTTTCATGAAATAAGAGAAAACTAGCAACTTGGGCTTATTCTCAACATAATGACTATCAAAATCCATCCTTTTGCACTTTGAAATATTTGTTGTTCTCGGAAGAGCACTTCTAATTTTAATTTTGATTATACTTGGCATCAAATAAGCTTGCTATTTTGTCATATTTGTTTATCTTTTAAGATAAAGTTTGAATATTCGAGTTGTTCATTGTATGGGTCGAAATCTGCCTGATAGCATGTGGGTGGAGTTCTGTTAGGAATTTGGGAAAACCTAACATATAAAATTGTATCCCTTTTAAATATCTTTCCAACGATATATTGTTAAGTCCAAACGGAGTTCCGAGCGAAAGGTTATGTGCATTTTACTGGACACTGCGCTATATGCCTGTTCGATTCTTCGTTTCGTTCCACTATCATCCGTTGATCCCTGAACACGATCCCGACTTAATCCTTGGGCTTTTACTCTGACTTCAAATCTCCCTAACTAGCTTGAATTCATTCCATAACATCTACATAGATCAGAATCACTCCTACAAGGCATAAAACACACAATTAGTACAAAATACTAGCGATTAAAGCTCCAACTCAATTAAAGTGCAGTAAATTAGAGTAAAATAAATAATTAAAACATGAGATTATAGCCTACCATCAAAAGCATACTTGTCGTCTCCACCACTGCTTTCAAAACCAGAGCCTGGAGAATGTCTTCTCGTGTATCTCGCTGTATCTGAAGTAGTTGTGAGCGCAGCCCTTGTTCGAGAAAATAAAGGTACGCAATCCCCCATCTATTATATTAGCAAAACATTAGTCGACACCGAGACGAGGTATCCTCACCTCAAAAAGCTGGCCCTGGCCTTAGTCATAGCTTCGCGAAAGCTTAGACCGTATTTCCAGTGCCACCCCGTCTCGGTCGTCACGACCTTCCTCCTGAGAAGCATTTTGCATAAACCTGAGATATCGGGAAGGATGGCCAAATAGGCCATCGAGCTGAGCGAGCACGATATCACATACCAGTCACGAACATCGATAAAGTCACAAGTGTTCGCTGTCTTTGTCGCCGACTTCAGCGCAAAAGTAATGCCCAAAATTGATAGAGAAGCCTCTCAAACTTCCCCCAAAACACAAGACCTCTGGGTCCTATACACTGATGGCACATCCAATGCGTTAGGGGCTGCACTGGGACTCGTACTCGAAGTCCCAACAGGCGAAGTGATTTTTCAGTCCATAAGGTGCCCGGATATGACTAACAACGAGGCCGAGTATGAGGCCATAATCGCAGGTTTGAGACTAGCAATCAAGTACGGGGCAAGACGGTTAAAACTATGATGTGATTCCCAACTCGTAGTCAACCAAGTCACAGGGACTTACCAAATCAAAGAACAAAGATTGCAAAAATATCAGACTAAAATCTGCAAGCTACTGCGCGAGTTCGACGAATGGCAGCTCGACCAAATTCCTCGAGTACAGAATGATGAGGCAGACGGCCTTGCTAAACTGGCCGCAACCACCAAAAACATTGCAACCGGAGACAAGAATGTAGTCCACCTCCTCAATTCATCGCTTGATCAAATTGATGTAAGAACTGTAAGCTTAACTTGGAACTGGTGCAATCGTATTATTACATATTTGCAGGACGACACACTCCCAAATGATAAAAAAGAAGCCAAGAAACTGAGAATGCAAGTAGCCAGGTACAGTATCATCCACATGGACATGTATAAGAGGACTTATGGCGGCCCTCTGGAAAAATTCATGGGCCCAAACCAGACGTGACGCGGCCTTAAAGAGGTCCACGGGGGCCATTGTGGAGCTCACTCCGGCAATCAGGCTCTGGTCATATGCCTCATACGGGCAAGATACTACTGGCCCACCATGAAAAATGAGGCCACAGACTTCCTAAAATATTGCGAGCAAAAGTACGCCCCGATGATTCACCAAGTGGGTGAACACCTCCACTCGATCACCTCACCTTGGTCATTCATCAAATGGGGAATGGACATCGTGGGCCCCCTCCCGGTAGGGCGAGGTAACGTACGATTCCTTTTGGTTTTAACTGACTATTTTTCTAAGTGGGTGGAAGCAGGAGCATTTGCCCAAATACGTGAACATGAAGTGATCTCCTTTATATGGAAAAACATCATATGCCGGTTCGATCTCCCCAAAGAGATCAGATGCGACAACGGACCCCTGTTCACGGGAAAGAAGATCGCCGAGTTTTTTGAGAAATGGCATATCAAAAGGATACTCTCGATGCCATATCACCCCGCGGGCAATGGGCAAGCAGATTCCTCCAACAAGTCGATACTGAACATCATGAAGAAAAAGCTTGAAGACGCCAAGGGACTGTGGCCAGAAATATTACCAGAAGTACTATGGGCCAATCGAACAATGCCAAAGACGAGCACAAGGGAGACGCCTTACTCTTTGGTCTATAGGACCGATACAGTAATATCAGTTGAGGTTGGAGAGCCCACCCTAAGGTACTCTTATGAGAGCGGACCAAGGAACGACGAAAGCAGAAGGCAGAAGCTCGACGAACTTGAGGAATAAAGAGACATGGCCTACATAAAAAATGATCATGCAAAAACAACAAGCAAAACGCTATTATAATAAGAGGACAAAGGTTAGGCCGCTCAAAATCAGGGACTACGTGCTTAAAGCTAAAACACAAGCGAGCAAAGGCCCACAGAAAGGAAAACTAGGAACAAATTGGGACGGCCCATACAAAATCACAGCAAAAGCGAACAAAGGGCCATTCCAACTAGAAATAATGGAAGGAAAGGTACTACTAAACAACTAGAATATTACCCACCTCAAGTACTTCAACTTTTACGATATAAAGCGTTCCCCAAGTCGTACTCTTTTTTCCTTCACTTGAGTTTTGTCCCAATTAGATTTTCTCAAGGAGGTTTTTAATGAGGCGACGGAGGGAACACTTCAAGTCGAAGTACACAAAGATGGGGCAGGACAACTATTTCATTGCTCGACCTCTCAAGCATTCTCCAAGTCAACCAATGAAGGGACTCAATAGACTGAAACTAGGACTGGAATGCCAGCCACCTCTCGAAAATTTATAAATTTCTCCAAATGTATGACCAAAGCAACAACGCTTAAGGTTTACGATTTAGACAAACTTCGCACTTATCGGAACACCTACCGGCCCTCGGCCATAATTAAAATTAGGTTATGTTCGACCTTGTCGAACTGACGCCTACATGCGCTCGGCCATAATTAAAATTAGGTTATGTTCGACCTCGTCGAACTGACGCCTACTGGACCTCGGCCATAATTAAACTTAGGTTATGTTCGACATTGTTAGAACTAATACCTACCAGTTCTCGACCATAATTAAACTTAAGTTATGTTCGACCTTGTTCGAACTAACACCTATCGGCCCTCTGCCATAATTAAACNGACCATAATTAAAATTAGGTTATGTTCGACCTTGTTCGAACTAACACCTATCGGCCCTCTGCCATAATTAAACTTAGGTTATGTTCGACCTTGTTCGAACTAACACCTACAGGCCCTCGGCCATAACTAAATTTAGGTTATGTTCGACCTTGTTCGAACTAACACCTACCGGCCCTCGGCCATAATTAAATTTAGGTTATGTTTGACCTTGTTCGAACTAACACCTACAGGCCCTCGGCCATAACTAAATTTAGGTTATGTTCGACCTTGTTCGAACTAACACCTACTGGCCCTCGGCCATAATTAAACTTAGGTTATGTTTGACCTTGTTCGAATTAACACCTACTGGCCCTCGGCCATAATTAAACTTAGGTTATGTTTGACCTTGTTCGAATTAACACCTACTGGCCCTCGGCCATAATTAAGTTCGAACAAACGCCCACCAACCTCTGGCCACCATTTGCCATTAAGTGATCACGGTCAGAAAATCAAGGCAATCAAGTGACATAATTAAAAAACATACAAATGTAAAAACGAAATGCAGGAAGAGAATCAGATACAAATAACAAAGTTGGCATTTCATACTTGAAATGTTTTTTACAAAGGCTCATGAAGACGCCACCAACTACACGCAAAATATACAAAAATCAAAAGAGAAAAATATTGGCCACCACCATCACGACCCCCGACATCCCCACCAACTTGGTCCTCAACAGCGTCGCCCCATTGACCTTCAACACCCTCGCCATCGCCGCCTTCGCCCTCAGGATATGCAGCGTCATACCAGGCATTCTACTCGAGCCGGTCTACACCTTCGTCCCCCCCGTCCTCGTAGTCCTCTGGCATAACGGGGTCATACCTGCAAGCGATTCTAGCTTCACGAGCTTTAACACGAGCATCTTCGAGGGCGGTCTTAGAAATAAATCCCGCCGCATGCAAATCTCAAAACACGTCTAACTGGGCCTCGACATAAATACACTCCTCATACAACTCTCGAGGAACATTAGGAAAATCTGAAGTATGGATTGACACTCCTCATGCTGGGCACGCAGTGAAACCACCTGAGCGTGGAGATCATTACACTGGTCTTCGACCCCTTTGCTGACTTCGAGTTCTTCCTCCTTACCTATCAACATCCCTTCAAGGACACTACACTTCTCGATGACCTTCACCAGCTCATCATCCTTCTCCTTCAACTCATCACGAAGGGCCCGCAAGTTACCACCCTTGCCAAAATGTCTGCGAATCTCCCGGTACTTGCCGCGATACTCAAAGTACTTGCGCTCCAACTTCTCAAATATTTTCTTACGCTTCTCCTCTCTTCGAGCGCTCTCAATCTCCAAGATCATGGTCTGCAATCATAAGAAAAAAAAAAGGAAAGCAAAAGTGAGAACGTTTCCGCTAACAAGGGCAAAACACTATAACAAAAGAACAACACTACAGTAAGAAAAACGAAGCCCTAAAATACTCACCATGAGGGCAAGGTCGGCTATTCCCCTTGACAGAGTAATATCGTCCAGTTCTCTGAGGGTTTCACCTTCTACGTCGGAGCAAAGAGGGCCGAGGGAAGGGACTACGTTCTCCATCTTATTTAACAGATCGCGCTCCATGGGGATCGCAATGGTCCTCGTAGACCCCTCCAGCCACACCTCGAGTTGGGTAAACCCTTCCTTCATCATCCTCAGGTCAGTGACATCAACCTCTGAACTCGTCTCATAACCATCTTCGACAACGCCTTTGCCTCTCCCATCGACAGGCGAAGAAGTATCATCGGCTGGCTGCGAAGTCGACGGCCCCTCTTGCCGCAAAGGATCAGAAACTCCAGTGGCCAGCTCTTCGACCTTCGTCATCACAGAGGTGAGAGAAATACCTTCGCCGGCCTCTGCCG